TTGTAGCTGATTTGTCTCCTAAGATGGCTGCCAGCAGGGGGAGTAAGTTTAACATAGGACCCTATGGGAAATACATACAAATGTTTTCTTCTAGAGAACCACTGAATAGAATGAAACCAAACATGGCATGAATGTTCCTAATGAGGTGCTGACTAAGTGTTGTTACTTTGTAGCCGAACCATCCTTCAAGATGGCTGCCAGCAGGGGACTTAGTTTAACATAAGACCCTATGGGAAATAGTCATACCCCAAGATTTTTTATTTAATTACGGGGCTAATATTAAACCAAATTTGGCCTCAATCATCATTAGGGTATCCGTTATGATTTCCAAAACCAAAGTAGAATCAGGTGAGCGACACAGGCTCTTGAGAGCCTCTAGTTTGTTTTAGTTCTTTTTTTAAATTTTTCAATAGTTTTCTTATGCCATTTTTTCCTTTTTTCAGATGAAAAAAAATTCTCCTTCTTCAACATTATTTCATTATTTAATTAATTATAACCTTTTTCTCATTCTGAATCAGTATTTATGTCTGCAGTAATGCTTTTAGAAATTTAAATTATTATTTTTATTCCTCTAAATTTCCAGTTTATTAATTATGAGATAATGAAATATTATCTCTTTTGGTTGGCTTTTTAATGATCATGAAAAACTTTGTTTTTGGCTTCACAAAGTTTTGGTCTCTGGCAATCTTAATGAAGGTTATTCCACTAACCAGTTGGCTACACTGAAAATTGTAACATCCATTCATTTAAGTTTATGAAATATTTTAATTTCTTTAAAAAATTATACTTGTCCCTCCATGTCTAGTACTTCATTTAAAAATCTTTTTATTTTTTGAAGTATCAACACTAACCTGGGGGGTTTACTAACATGATACTTCCTAAATAGGTTGTTAGGTATTAGTGGCGTGATAGATGGCGCAAGGGAGAGAGAGATTGATGTATGACATTCTAATAAGGGTTTGGGGTACTAACAAGATGGAGGGATATGGTTGCTTTGTATTTATTAAGTATGTGTGCACAATAGAATTTATTGGGCTGAGACTAACTGTCGTTAGTAAATAACTTTCAAATAAAGAAAAAGTGCCATAAATTTAGTCTAACATGATTTAACTACTGATAAATATGTACCTAATACCTATAATTCAGAATGGGACAGTTAAATAAGGAATCTCTTTGGGGTGATGAAATGTAAAATTCAGACTGAATTTCACTTTTAGAATTTTTTTTTACATTTGTTCTTTGCATTTCGATTGACCATTATTATAATATTCAAATTTCAATTTAATGGGGAACAGTTAATGACCACCTTTCTTTTAAACTCAGTTTATCACCAATTTAATGTCCTATTTTTGTAACACAGTTGACATTTCTATAGGAACCAACTACTGTAAACCAACTTATTTTATGGACATTTTATTTGTGTTGCGCCTATTATATTTTGCAGCTGATATTTTTTTTGCGTAGCAACATTTCTTTCATATTTCGCAGCTGATATTTTTTTTCGCGTATCGCCATTTCTATCATATTTCACATAGGAATTTTTCCACGTATATATAAAAAAGAAGATGTGGTATGATTGCCAATGAGACAACTCTCCACAAGAGACTAAATGACACAGAAATTAACAGCTATACATTGTAGGTAACTGTACGGCCCTCAACGATGAGCAAAGCCCCAACCACATAGTCAGTTTTAAAATGCCCAGAAATCACATATGTAAAACAATTCAAACGAAAAAACTGACGACCATATAGACATTTCTATCATAATTTGCAGCTGATATTTTTTTTTGCGTATCGCCATTTCTCTCATATTTCACATAGGATTTTTTCTGCTTACATGTATATATAAAAAAAGAAGATGTGGTATGATTGCCAATGAGACAACTCTCCACAAGAGACTAAATGACACAGAAATTAACAGCTATAGATAACTGTACGGCCCTCAACGATGAGCTAAGCCCAAACCACATAGTCAGCTATAAAAGGCCCAGAAATCACAAATGTAAAACAATTCAAACGAAAAGACTTAACGACCATATAGCCATTTTTAGCATATTTCACATGGATATGTTTCGTGATTATCTAATTTTTCGGGTTATTTCATACAACAGACAATTCTATTTTGAAATTCTCGTGATTTATATTCGGCTTAATTACTTCTTTTCTTTGAAGTCTATTAAATAAATTGTCCGAAAAATGAGTTGGTTCACAGTATGCTCCTCTTCTAGTCTTGGTCATCCCCCTGTAACAGTCTCAATAATCCTTTATTCCCCGCCCCAGCTGAGTCAAAGGTAGAGACTTCAAAACTGGTATTGCTATATTCCTTCACTACCCAAAAAAAACCTAAAGAGAAAGAGCAAAGACAAGTTGGCTTTGAAGAAAAACTAGATCTTTTTCTTAAGGAGTCTTTATCTTATCTAGTAATTGTTCTAAAAATGACTCAGCATATGTATAAAAGGATATGTGGGATAATTAACGTCAATGAGACAGCATTTACTTACCAACAACAAAATATGGCCAAGACACATAATAATTAGGTTAACATACTGTCTTCAACAATAAAATGCTGTTCTAGAATACAAATATGGAGATGTGATATGATTGCCAATAGACAAACTCTTCATCAAGACCAAATGACAGAGATTGATACAGGGTCTTTAACAATGGAGCAATGACCTAATATTTCATATTCAAATCACATTTACATATAAACATCAGATGTGGTATGATTGCCATTGGGACAAGTATGCTGCTGGTTTTAGATATCCACCCTATCTTTCATTTTTACATATGAAGTAAACTTGATTCAGGGGCTTCTTGGGGAAGACAGAGGAACTTGCATTGTACTTTTACTTCACATTTCCCAATTTTCGGCATTTCTTTTTTCAAAGTTTGTTGACATTATTGATTCGATCCTTCTGTAATTCCTACATAGCTAGTTATAAGGAGCATCCGATACAGGAACTGGCTCATATCTTGACCTTAGCCTGGGGGTTGTTGGTGAGGTCAGTTGGGAACTATAAAAAATTACAACAAAGGAGACTTCTTTTTTCTGATTGTGAACCTTCTATTACTATGTAGCATGAATCCAGGTATACTTGTATATATGGATTTTGTATCACCATGTTGATTATTCCACTCTTTGCATGTGCTGTAGGACATTTTTCCTTAATAAAATGTTTGCTGTTTTTAAAGGATATCACTGAACCAAGGGTTCTTAATGATAAAAGTTGTAAACATAATTACAAGAACATGTGGTATGATTGCCAATGAGACAACTCTCCACAAAAAAGTGGGATTATTTTAAATATTATTTATTCACCCGCTGTACATTCATTCCAAAATTGGTCTCCATTCTCCTAACTTTAGCTTGACTGGACCTTATGTTATAAAATGTGTACACAACGATTAATTTACTACAAAACGTAGATCAAGTTTAAATTTGGTTGTCGTCACTTTTACCTTTGTAAATGTGAAATTTTTCAACAATGAGCATAGTCGGCTATGAAAGGCCCTGAAATTACAGCTATAAAACAATAAAAACGAGAAAACAAAATAATGAACGAAAAACAAACATGATATATAGCATGAACAAATGACAATTGCTGAATTGCAGGCTCCTGACGTGGGACAGCCATATACAGAACAAGGGGTTGTGGGTTAAACTAGTTTGAAGGTTCCAGTACCCTCCCTCCCCTTACCTGAGACAGTTGTGTAACAGTACAACATAAACTATTAAAATCAGTTGAAGATGGCTAATAACTCATCAGATTGATACAAAGCAGAAATACATCTAACAAATACACAAAACTGACCGGAAGGAGAAGGGTACTTATACATTCTCGCAACAACAAAAAAACACTACCGTGTACAGATCTGATAAAGAGTACAAGCTTTAAGTAGTTGCTGACAGTTCAAAAACAATAAAAACTAATAAAAAAATTATGCATCTAAGACTAAAATATCAATCAGTACACATCCACACCAATGGATTTAGTGTAAAGACATCATTAACAGTTGGAGAAAACCATGACCTTGTTGTGCATGTTCATTTCTTTGTATGATTTATTCATGATTAACCAAAATTCTAGAAATAAAAATTATTCAAATATTAAATCCTTATAATGGTGTATGATAGATACAAATATAAGTTTGTAAATTATTTAGAAATTAAACAGCATCTAAGACAAAAGTTTGATCTTTTTTTAATTTCTGTATTTTACTGATAAATAGACTCTCTCTATTCTTAAATTCTATATTACACTGACAGCAGCTATAGCAGGCAATACATTTAAGGTTCCACAAAACCCCTTAAGAAATTTTTAATCCTTGACATGAAATCAAACCGACTAATTCAAATGGTACTATACCATTGCATGTTTTTGTCTGTATTTATGTGTACATCATGTGATATGATCATCTGCAGACTTTTTTTTTTATATTTATGTGTACATCATTTGATATGAAAATCTGCAGACTTCAGAGGCCATATTCTCAAGATTTAATTTGATGGTGTCTAGTCTAAAATTTATACAAATGTTTTACTTTTTTGGGGAATCAAGGCATTGTTCATTGTTTCTTTTTGACTTTTTATACGCCCGTTTACGGGACATATTATGGTATACCATTGACCGTCTGTCCGTCCGTCTGTCGTCGACATTAATTCAAAAACACTTTCACCAATTTGCATGAAATTTTGGTGAATTGTTTATATCTATTGATGTGAGCACTCAGTCAACAAAACTGTTATTTAAGGAAATATGAATATTTTTTAACCAAAAATGATCAGAAAACGTTTGAGAAATTCATTTTGAAATTATTTCAACAAAATCTCTCCAGACAGTGATATTTGAGGCTAAAGTATTGGAAAGTCAAGAACCCAATACAATCATTTAAGAACTTTAAACCAAAAATATAGTAAAACCTTGACCGAGATTCAGAACTTTGCACTACGGTATAGTGTCTATGTGTAGGGACAGTGCCACTCTGCATGTTAAAGAACCCTTGCCACAAGTCTTTGAGGGGTCAGTAGGTGGCCTGTTGCAAGGCTTAATTTCTGCCCAACATATCCTCCTTCAGTTGGCAGTCAAAATTTCCCCTACCTTCATCATCAGCCCACTTTATAGAACCTACAAATTGATTTGTTATGAAATGAAGAGATGCGAGACAACTATCCTACAGAGACGAAATGAAGTTGCATGTTACTGTATGGACTTCAACAATGAGAAAATCAACTAACATTAAAATTTTGCAATATTCTGAATTAGAATGACTTTGTTAATACCTCTAACCTTTAACATCTGATATTTTTATTATCTAGAGCTCTGTAAAAAAAAATATCAAAAAAAATATAAAAAAAGAAAATACCAAAAAATAATATATGAAAACAAAATCGTTTGTAAACAGAGTTCTAGATAATAAACATTGAGGGTGGTGTAAAAGGTTGGATTATTGTAATATTTTTTATGACCCCCGCCTTAAAGTCTTCTAAAGTTATCATTTTTAAAACAAACAAAAATTGGAATGGCAATTTAAAAAGTATATAGTTTCTATGTGTAGGGACAGTGCCACTCTGCACGTTAAAGAACCCTTGCCACAAGTCTTTGAGGCCTGGTCAGTAGGTGGCCTGTTGCAAGGCTTAATTTCTGCCCAACATGTCCTCTCAGTTGGCAGTCAAAATTTCCCTTACCTTCATCATAGGCCCACTTTATAGAACCTACAAATTGATTTGTTATGAAATGAAGAGATGTGAGACAACTATCCTACAGAGACCAAATGATGTTGATGTAAAATAGGTTACTGTATGGACTTCAACAATGAGAAAATCAACTAACATTAAAATTTTGCAATATTCTGAATTAGAATGACTTTGTTAATACCTCTAACCTTTAACATCTAATATTTTTATTATCTAGAGCTCTGTAAAAAAAAATATCAAAAAAATATCAAAAAAGAAAATACCAAAAAATAATATATGAAAACAAAATTGTTTGTAAACAGAGTTCTAGATAATAAACATTGAGGGTGGTGTAAAAGGTGGGATTATTGTAAAAATTTTTATGACCCCCACCTTTAAGTCGTCTTATGTTATCATGTTTAAAACAAAAATTGGAATGGCAATTTAAAAAGTATATAGTTCCTATGTAGGGACAGTGCCACTCTGCACGTTAAAGAACCCTTGCCACAAGTCTTTGAGGGGTCAGTAGGTGGCCTGTTGCAAGGCTTAATTTCTGTCCCAACATATCCTCCTCTCAGTTGGCAGTCAAAATTTCCCTTACCTTCGTCATAGGTTCACTTTATAGAACCTACACATTGATTTGTTATGAAATGAAAAGATGCAAGACAACTAACCTACAGAGACCAAATGAAGTTGCATGTTACTGTATGGACTTCAACAATGAGAAAATCAACCAACATTAAAATTTTGCAATATTCTGAATTAGAATGACTTTGATAATACCTCTAACCTTTAATATCCGATATTTTTATTATCTAGAGCTCTGTAAAAAAATATTAAAAAAAAATATATAAAATGAAAATACCCAAAAATTATATGAAAACAAAATTGTTTGTAAACAGAGTTCTAGATAATAAACATTGAGGGTGGTGTAAAAGGTGGGATTATTGTAATATTTTTTATGACCCCCGCTTTAAAGTCTTCTAAAGTTATCATGTTTAAAACAAACAAAAATTGGAATGGCAATTTAAAAAGTATAGTTCCTATGTGTAGGGACAGTGCCACTCTGCACGTTAAAGAACCCTTGCCACAAGTCTTTGAGGCCTGGTCAGTAGGTGGCCTGTTGCAAGGCTTAATTTCTGTCCAACATATCCTCCTCTCAGTTGGCAGTCAAAATTTCCCTTACCTTCATCATAGGCCCACTTTATTGAACCTAAAATTGATTTGTTATGAAATGAAGAGATGCGAGACGTTACTATCCTACAGAGACCAAATGATGTTGATGTAAAATAGGTTACTGTATGGACTTCAACAATGAGAAAATCATCCAACATTAAAATTTTGCAATATTCTGAATTAGAATGACTTTGTTCATACCTCTAACCTTTAACATCTGATATTTTTATTATCTAGAGCTCTGTAAAAAAAATATCAAAAAAAATATCAAAAAAGAAAATACCAAAAAATAATATATGAAAACAAAATCGTTTGTAAACAGAGTTCTAGATAATAAGCATTGAGGGTGGTGTAAAAGGTGGGATTATTGTAATATTTTTTATGACCCCCGCCTTAAAGTCTTCTAAAGTTATCATTTTTAAAACAAACAAAAATTGGAATGGCAATTTAAAAAGTATAGTTTCTATGTGTAGGGACAGTGCCACTCTGCACATTAAAAAACCCTTGCCACAAGTCTTTGAGGGGTCAGTAGGTGGCCTGTTGCAAGGCTTAATTTCTGTCCAACATATCCTCCTCTCAGTTGGCAGTCAAAATTTCCCTTACCTTCATCATAGGCCCACTTTATAGAACCTACAAATTGATTTGTTATGAAATGAAAAGATGCGAGACAACTATCCTACAGAGACCAAATGAAGTTGCATGTTACTGTATGGACTTCAACAATGAGAAAATCAACTAACATTAAAATTTTGCAATATTCTGAATTAGAATGACTTTGTTAATACCTCTAACCTTTAACATCTGATATTTTTATTATCTAGAGCTCTGTAAAAAAATATACAAAAAAAAATATAAAAAATGAAAATACCAAAAAATAATATGATAACAAAACTGTTTGTAAACAGAGTTCTAGATAATAAACATTGAGGGTGGTGTAAAAGGTGGGATTATTGTAATATTTTTTATGACCCCCGCCTTAAAGTCTTCTAAAGTTATCATTTTTAAAACAAACAAAAATTGGAATGGCAATTTAAAAAGTATATTGTTCCTATGTGTAGGGACAGTGCCACTCTGCACGTTAAAGAACCCTTGCCACAAGTCTTTGAGGGGTCAGTAGGTGGTCTGTTGCAAGGCTTAATTTCTGTCCAACATATCCTCCTCTCAGTTGGCAGTCAAAATTTCCCTTACCTTCATTATAGGCCCACTTTATAGAACCTACAAATTGATTTGTTATGAAATGAAGAGATGCGAGACAACTATCCTACAGAGACCAAATGAAGTTGCATGTTACTGTATGGACTTCAACAATGAGAAAGTCAACTAACATTAAAATTTTGCAATATTCTGAATTAGAATGACTTTGTTAATACCTCTAACCTTTAACATCTGATATTTTTATTATCTAGAGCTCTGTAAAAAAAAATATCCAAAAAAATATAAAAAATGAAAATACCAAAAAATAATATATGAAAACAAAATCGTTTGTAAACAGAGATCTAGATAATAAACATTGAGGTGGTGTAAAAGGTGGGATTATTGTAATATTTTTTATGACCCCCGCCTTAAAGTCTTCTAAAGTTATAATTTTTAAAACAAACAAAAATTGGAATGGCAATTTAAAAAGTAAATAGTTTCTATGTGTAGGGACAGTGCCACTCTGCACGTTAAAGAACCCTTGCCACAAGTCTTTGAGGCCTGGTCAGTAGGTGGCCTGTTGCAAGGCTTAATTTCTGTCCAACATATCCTCTCAGTTGGCAGTCAAAATTTCCCTTACCTTCATCATAGGCCCACTTTATAGAACCTACAAATTGATTTGTTATGAAATGAAGAGATGTGAGACATTACTATCCTACAGAGACCAAATGATGTTGATGTAAAATAGGTTACTGTATGGACTTCAACTATGAGAAAATCATCCAACATTAAAATTTTGCAATATTCTGAATTAGAATGACTTTGTTAATACCTCTAACCTTTAACATCCGATAGTTTTATTATCTAGAGCTCTGTAAAAAAATATACAAAAAAAAATATAAAAAATGAAAATACCAAAAAATAATATAACAAAACTGTTTGTAAACAGAGTTCTAGATAATAAACATTGAGGGTGGTGTAAAAGGTGGGATTATTGTAATATTTTTTATGACCCCCGCCTTAAAGTCTTCTAAAGTTATCATTTTTAAAACAAACAAAAATTGGAATGGCAATTTAAAAAGTATATTGTTCCTATGTGTAGGGACAGTGCCACTCTGCACGTTAAAGAACCGTTGCCACAAGTCTTTGAGGGGTCAGTAGGTGACCTGTTGCAAGGCTTAATTTCTGTCCAACATATCCTCCTCTCAGTTGGCAGTCAAAATTTCCCTTACCTTCATCATAGGCCCACTTTATAGAACCTACACATTGATTTGTTATGAAATGAAGAGATGCGAGACAACTATCCTACAGAGACGAAATGAAGTTGCATGTTACTGTATGGACTTCAACAATGAGAAAATCAACTAACATTAAAATTTTGCAATATTCTGAATTAGAATGACTTTGTTAATACCTCTAACCTTTAACATCTGATATTTTTATTATCTAGAGCTCTGTAAAAAAAAATATCAAAAAAAATATAAAAAAAGAAAATACCAAAAAATAATATATGAAAACAAAATCGTTTGTAAACAGAGTTCTAGATAATAAACATTGAGGGTGGTGTAAAAGGTTGGATTATTGTAATATTTTTTATGACCCCCGCCTTAAAGTCTTCTAAAGTTATCATTTTTAAAACAAACAAAAATTGGAATGGCAATTTAAAAAGTATATAGTTTCTATGTGTAGGGACAGTGCCACTCTGCACGTTAAAGAACCCTTGCCACAAGTCTTTGAGGCCTGGTCAGTAGGTGGCCTGTTGCAAGGCTTAATTTCTGCCCAACATGTCCTCTCAGTTGGCAGTCAAAATTTCCCTTACCTTCATCATAGGCCCACTTTATAGAACCTACAAATTGATTTGTTATGAAATGAAGAGATGTGAGACAACTATCCTACAGAGACCAAATGATGTTGATGTAAAATAGGTTACTGTATGGACTTCAACAATGAGAAAATCAACTAACATTAAAATTTTGCAATATTCTGAATTAGAATGACTTTGTTAATACCTCTAACCTTTAACATCTAATATTTTTATTATCTAGAGCTCTGTAAAAAAAAATATCAAAAAAATATCAAAAAAGAAAATACCAAAAAATAATATATGAAAACAAAATTGTTTGTAAACAGAGTTCTAGATAATAAACATTGAGGGTGGTGTAAAAGGTGGGATTATTGTAAAAATTTTTATGACCCCCACCTTTAAGTCGTCTTATGTTATCATGTTTAAAACAAAAATTGGAATGGCAATTTAAAAAGTATATAGTTCCTATGTAGGGACAGTGCCACTCTGCACGTTAAAGAACCCTTGCCACAAGTCTTTGAGGGGTCAGTAGGTGGCCTGTTGCAAGGCTTAATTTCTGTCCCAACATATCCTCCTCTCAGTTGGCAGTCAAAATTTCCCTTACCTTCGTCATAGGTTCACTTTATAGAACCTACACATTGATTTGTTATGAAATGAAAAGATGCAAGACAACTAACCTACAGAGACCAAATGAAGTTGCATGTTACTGTATGGACTTCAACAATGAGAAAATCAACCAACATTAAAATTTTGCAATATTCTGAATTAGAATGACTTTGATAATACCTCTAACCTTTAATATCCGATATTTTTATTATCTAGAGCTCTGTAAAAAAATATTAAAAAAAAATATATAAAATGAAAATACCCAAAAATTATATGAAAACAAAATTGTTTGTAAACAGAGTTCTAGATAATAAACATTGAGGGTGGTGTAAAAGGTGGGATTATTGTAATATTTTTTATGACCCCCGCTTTAAAGTCTTCTAAAGTTATCATGTTTAAAACAAACAAAAATTGGAATGGCAATTTAAAAAGTATAGTTCCTATGTGTAGGGACAGTGCCACTCTGCACGTTAAAGAACCCTTGCCACAAGTCTTTGAGGCCTGGTCAGTAGGTGGCCTGTTGCAAGGCTTAATTTCTGTCCAACATATCCTCCTCTCAGTTGGCAGTCAAAATTTCCCTTACCTTCATCATAGGCCCACTTTATTGAACCTAAAATTGATTTGTTATGAAATGAAGAGATGCGAGACGTTACTATCCTACAGAGACCAAATGATGTTGATGTAAAATAGGTTACTGTATGGACTTCAACAATGAGAAAATCATCCAACATTAAAATTTTGCAATATTCTGAATTAGAATGACTTTGTTCATACCTCTAACCTTTAACATCTGATATTTTTATTATCTAGAGCTCTGTAAAAAAAATATCAAAAAAAATATCAAAAAAGAAAATACCAAAAAATAATATATGAAAACAAAATCGTTTGTAAACAGAGTTCTAGATAATAAGCATTGAGGGTGGTGTAAAAGGTGGGATTATTGTAATATTTTTTATGACCCCCGCCTTAAAGTCTTCTAAAGTTATCATTTTTAAAACAAACAAAAATTGGAATGGCAATTTAAAAAGTATAGTTTCTATGTGTAGGGACAGTGCCACTCTGCACATTAAAAAACCCTTGCCACAAGTCTTTGAGGGGTCAGTAGGTGGCCTGTTGCAAGGCTTAATTTCTGTCCAACATATCCTCCTCTCAGTTGGCAGTCAAAATTTCCCTTACCTTCATCATAGGCCCACTTTATAGAACCTACAAATTGATTTGTTATGAAATGAAAAGATGCGAGACAACTATCCTACAGAGACCAAATGAAGTTGCATGTTACTGTATGGACTTCAACAATGAGAAAATCAACTAACATTAAAATTTTGCAATATTCTGAATTAGAATGACTTTGTTAATACCTCTAACCTTTAACATCTGATATTTTTATTATCTAGAGCTCTGTAAAAAAATATACAAAAAAAAATATAAAAAATGAAAATACCAAAAAATAATATGATAACAAAACTGTTTGTAAACAGAGTTCTAGATAATAAACATTGAGGGTGGTGTAAAAGGTGGGATTATTGTAATATTTTTTATGACCCCCGCCTTAAAGTCTTCTAAAGTTATCATTTTTAAAACAAACAAAAATTGGAATGGCAATTTAAAAAGTATATTGTTCCTATGTGTAGGGACAGTGCCACTCTGCACGTTAAAGAACCCTTGCCACAAGTCTTTGAGGGGTCAGTAGGTGGTCTGTTGCAAGGCTTAATTTCTGTCCAACATATCCTCCTCTCAGTTGGCAGTCAAAATTTCCCTTACCTTCATTATAGGCCCACTTTATAGAACCTACAAATTGATTTGTTATGAAATGAAGAGATGCGAGACAACTATCCTACAGAGACCAAATGAAGTTGCATGTTACTGTATGGACTTCAACAATGAGAAAGTCAACTAACATTAAAATTTTGCAATATTCTGAATTAGAATGACTTTGTTAATACCTCTAACCTTTAACATCTGATATTTTTATTATCTAGAGCTCTGTAAAAAAAAATATCCAAAAAAATATAAAAAATGAAAATACCAAAAAATAATATATGAAAACAAAATCGTTTGTAAACAGAGATCTAGATAATAAACATTGAGGTGGTGTAAAAGGTGGGATTATTGTAATATTTTTTATGACCCCCGCCTTAAAGTCTTCTAAAGTTATAATTTTTAAAACAAACAAAAATTGGAATGGCAATTTAAAAAGTAAATAGTTTCTATGTGTAGGGACAGTGCCACTCTGCACGTTAAAGAACCCTTGCCACAAGTCTTTGAGGCCTGGTCAGTAGGTGGCCTGTTGCAAGGCTTAATTTCTGTCCAACATATCCTCTCAGTTGGCAGTCAAAATTTCCCTTACCTTCATCATAGGCCCACTTTATAGAACCTACAAATTGATTTGTTATGAAATGAAGAGATGTGAGACATTACTATCCTACAGAGACCAAATGATGTTGATGTAAAATAGGTTACTGTATGGACTTCAACTATGAGAAAATCATCCAACATTAAAATTTTGCAATATTCTGAATTAGAATGACTTTGTTAATACCTCTAACCTTTAACATCCGATAGTTTTATTATCTAGAGCTCTGTAAAAAAATATACAAAAAAAAATATAAAAAATGAAAATACCAAAAAATAATATAACAAAACTGTTTGTAAACAGAGTTCTAGATAATAAACATTGAGGGTGGTGTAAAAGGTGGGATTATTGTAATATTTTTTATGACCCCCGCCTTAAAGTCTTCTAAAGTTATCATTTTTAAAACAAACAAAAATTGGAATGGCAATTTAAAAAGTATATTGTTCCTATGTGTAGGGACAGTGCCACTCTGCACGTTAAAGAACCCTTGCCACAAGTCTTTGAGGGGTCAGTAGGTGGTCTGTTGCAAGGCTTAATTTCTGTCCAACATATCCTCCTCTCAGTTGGCAGTCAAAATTTCCCTTACCTTCATTATAGGCCCACTTTATAGAACCTACAAATTGATTTGTTATGAAATGAAGAGATGCGAGACAACTATCCTACAGAGACCAAATGAAGTTGCATGTTACTGTATGGACTTCAACAATGAGAAAGTCAACTAACATTAAAATTTTGCAATATTCTGAATTAGAATGACTTTGTTAATACCTCTAACCTTTAACATCTGATATTTTTATTATCTAGAGCTCTGTAAAAAAAAATATCCAAAAAAATATAAAAAATGAAAATACCAAAAAATAATATATGAAAACAAAATCGTTTGTAAACAGAGATCTAGATAATAAACATTGAGGTGGTGTAAAAGGTGGGATTATTGTAATATTTTTTATGACCCCCGCCTTAAAGTCTTCTAAAGTTATAATTTTTAAAACAAACAAAAATTGGAATGGCAATTTAAAAAGTAAATAGTTTCTATGTGTAGGGACAGTGCCACTCTGCACGTTAAAGAACCCTTGCCACAAGTCTTTGAGGCCTGGTCAGTAGGTGGCCTGTTGCAAGGCTAAATTTCTGTCCAACATATCATCCTCCCTGTTGGCAGTCAAAATTTCCCTTACCTTCATCATAGGCCCACTTTATAGAACCTACAAATTGATTTGTTATGAAATGAAGAGATGCGAGACATTACTATCCTACAGAGACCAAATGATGTTGATGTAAAATAGGTTACTGTATGGACTTCAACAATGAGAAAATCATCCAACATTAAAATTTTGCAATATTCTGAATTAGAATGACTTTGTTAATACCTCTAACCTTTAACATCCGATATTTTTATTATCTAGAGCTCTGTAAAAAAATATACAAAAAAAATATAAAAAATGAAAATACAAAAAAATATATACAAAAAAAATATCAAAAATGAAAATACCAAAAAATAATATGAAAACAAAATTGTTTGTAAACAGAGTTCTAGATAATAAACATTGAGGGTGGTGTAAAAGGTGGGATTATTGTAATATTTTTTATGACCCCCGCCTTAAAGTCTTCTAAAGTTATCATTTTTAAAACAAACAAAAATTGGAATGGCAATTTAAAAAGTATATAGTTCCTATGTGTAGGGACAGTGCCACTCTGCATGTTAGAGAACCCTTGCCACAAGTCTTTGAGGGGTCAGTAGGTGGTCTGTTGCAAGGCTTAATTTCTGTCCAACATATCCTCCTCTCAGTTGGCAGTCAAAATTTCCCTTACCTTCATCATAGGCCCACTTTATAGAACCTACAAATTGATTTGTTATGAAATGAAAAGATGCAAGACAACCATCCTACAGAGACCAAATGAAGTTGCATGTTACTGTATGGACTTCAACAATGAGAAAATCAACTAACATTAAAATTTTGCAATATTCTGAATTAGAATGACTTTGTTAATACCTCTAACCTTTAACATCTGATATTTTTATTATCTAGAGCTCTGAAAAAAAATATATCAAAAAAAATATAAAAAATGAAAATACCAAAAAATAATATATGAAAACAAAATCGTTTGTAAACAGAGTTCTAGATAATAAACATTGAGGGTGGTGTAAAAGGTGGGATTATTGTAATATTTTTTATGACCCCCCGCCTTAAAGTCTACTAAAGTTATCATTTTTAAAACAAACAAAAATTGGAATGGCAATTTAAAAAGTATATAGTTTCTATGTGTAGGGACAGTACCACTCTGCACGTTAAAGAACTCTTGCCACAAGTCTTTGAGGTCTGGTCAGTAGGTGGCCTGTTGCAAGGCTTAATTTCTGTCCAAAATATCCTCCTCTCAGTTATCAGTCAAAATTTCCCTTACCTTCATCATAGGCCCACTTTATAGAACCTACAGATTGATTTGTTATGAAATGAAAAGATGCAAGACAACTAACCTGCAGAGACCAAATGAAGTTGCATGTTACTGTATGGACTTCAACAATGAGAAAATCATCCAACATTAAAATTTTGCAATATTCTGAATTAGAATGACTTTGATAATACCTCTAACCTTTAATATCCAATATTTTTATTATCTAGAGCTCTGTAAAAAAATATAAAAAAAAAATATATAAAATGAAAATACCCAAAAATTATATGAATACAAAATTGTTTGTAAACAGAGTTCTAGATAATAAACATTGAGGGTGGTGTAAAAGGTGGGATTATTGTAATATTTTTTATGATCCCCGCTTTAAAGTCTTCTAAAGTTATCATGTTTAAAACAAACAAAAATTGGAATGGCAATTTAAAAAGTATAGTTCCTATGTGTAGGGACAGTGCCACTCTGCACGTTAAAGAACCCTTGCCACAAGTCTTTGAGGGGTCAGTAGGTGGCCTGTTGCAAGGCTTAATTTCTGCCCAACATGTCCTCTCAGTTGGCAGTCAAAATTTCCCCTACCTTCATCATCAGCCCACTTTATAGAACCTACAAATTGATTTGTTATGAAATGAAGAGATGCGAGACAACTATCCTACAGAGACCAAATGAAGTTGCATGTTACTGTATGGACTTCAACAATGAGAAAATCAACTAACATTAAAATTTTGCAATATTCTGAACTAGAATGACTTTGTTAATACCTCTTACATTTAACATCTGATATTTTTATTATCTAGAGCTCTGTAAAAAAAAATATCAAAAAAATATCAAAAAAGAAAATACCAAAAAATAATATATGAAAACAAAATTGTTTGTAAACAGAGTTCTAGATAATAAACATTGAGGGTGGTGTAAAAGGTGGGATTATTGTAATATTTTTTATGACCTCCACCTTAAAGTCGTCTTATGTTATCATATTTAAAGCAAACAAAAATTGGAATGGCAATTTAAAAAGTATAGTTCCTATGTGTAGGGACAGTGCCACTCTGCATGTTAAAGAACCCTTGCCACAACTCTTTGTGGGGTCAGTAGGTGGCCTGTTGCAAGGCTTAATTACTGCCCAACATATCCTCCTCTCAGTTGGCAGTCAAAATTTCCTGTACCTTCATCATCAGCCCATTTTTATAGAACCTACAGATTGATTTGTTATGAAATGAAGAGATGTGAGACATTACTATCCTACAGAGACCAAATGATGTTGATGTAAAATAGGTTACTGTATGGACTTCAACAATGAGAAAATCAACTAACATTAAAATTTTGCAATATTCTGATTTGGAATGACTTTGTTAATACCTCTAACCTTTAACATCTGATATTTTTATTATCTAGAGCTCTGTAAAAAAATATACAAAAAAAAATATAAAAAATGAAAATACCAAAAAATAATATGATAACAAAACTGTTTGTAAACAGAGTTCTAGATAATAAACATTGAGGATGTTGTAAAAAGTAGGCATATTTAAAATTTTGTTTATTATTATGAATAGTGCACTGTATAATTTATAAAAATGTGTATTGTGAAGTCTTGGAAAATTGTGAAACTTTAGAACTGTGTTTATTTGAGAAGTCTATATTCAGTCTTCAATGATTGTCATGGCAATTGAGGACAATAAAATATAGCTCTGTGTAGAAACTGACTTTTTTATATCAAGAAAGATCCAACAAAAGTTTTCAATGATATCTAAAGAGACAAAAGGCAGAAATACTAAAAGGTTTTCTATGAGATTGGTGGATTATGTACAGTCAGACAACTGGCACACTCAAGCTAAAAGTTAAATAGCTATTAAAATAAAATTATGGACTTGTATAATAACATTAATGAAGACAGATGTTCTAAAGTGAAGACATGTTCCTTCATAATGTTCTATAGTGAAGACATGTTCATACATAATGTTCTATAGTGAAGACATGTTCCTACATAATGTTCTAAAGTGAAGACATGTTCCTTCATAATGTTCTATAGTGAAGACATGTTCCTACATAATGTTCTAAAGTGAAGACATGTTCCTTCATAATGTTCTATAGTGAAGACATGTTCATACATAATGTTCTATAGTGAAGACATGTTCATACATAATGTTCTATAGTGAAGACATATTCCTACATATTGTTCTATAGTGAAGACATGTTCCTACATAATGTCTTATAGTGAAGACGTATTCCTACATATTGTTCTATAGTGAAGACATGTTCCTACATAATGTCTTATAGTGCAGACATGTTCCTACATAATGTTCTATAGTGAAGACAGATGTTCTATAGCACAAACAGATGTTCCTAAGTTGCAATGAAGTGTTCAGAAGACAGACAGAGTTTCCTTTTGCAATGAAATTATCCAGAACACATAGTTGATTAGATTTCCAGTTCATTACATATTCTGACATTTTCTCAAGAAAAACACAAGGTATTGATATAGTTCAAGTCTGTAAAAAGTGTATTATTTGCACAGAATTTAAATTTTGAATTTTAATGGCCAAACCTGTTAGTGTGTATTTATTTTATGATTTTCTTGTTCTTGATTTATGATGCTTCTTGAATATTTAAATTTATGGAAGGTAAATTTTTCGTGGCTAATATATTTTTGATAATGTTTTGTAATTTTTTCTGGTTTTTGTCGAGCCTGCGACTTTTGTCGCAGAAAGCTCGACATAGGGATAGCGATCCGGCGGCGGCGGCGGCGGCGTTAGCTAACTTCTTAAAAGCTTTATATTTTAGAAGGTGGAAGGTCTGGATGCTTCATACTTTGTATATGGATGCCTCATGTTACGAAGTTTCCGTCAGTCACATGTCCAATGTCCTTGACCTCATTTTCATGGTTCAGTGACTACTTGAAAAAAAAGTTCAGATTTTTTGTAATGTTAGATTCTCTCTTATTATAAGTAATAAGATAACTATATTTGGTATGTGCGTACCTTGCAAGGTCCTCATGCCCGTCAGACAGTTTTCACTTGACCTCGACCTCATTTCATGGATCAGTGAACAAGGTTAAGTTTTGGTGGTCAAGTCCATATCTCAGATACTATAAGCAATAGGTCTAGTATATTCGGTGTATGGAAGGACTGTAAGGTGTACATGTCCAACTGGCAGGTGTCATCTGACCTTGACCTCATTTTCATGGTTCAGTGGTTATAGTTAAGTTTTTGTGTTTTGGTCTGTTTTTCTTATACTGTATGCCATAGGTCTACTATATTTGGTGTATGGAATGATTGTAAGGTGTACATGTCTAGCGGGCAGTTGTCATCTGACCTTGACCTTATTTTCATGGTTCAGTGGTCAAAGTTAAGTTTTTGAGTTTTGGTCTTTTTTTCTAATACTATGTGCAATAGTTCAACTATATTTGGTATGTGCGTACCTTGCAAGGTCCTCATGCCCGTCAGACAGTTTTCACTTGACCTCGACCTCATTTCATGGATCAATGAACAAGGTTAAGTTTTGGTGGTCAAGTCCATATCTCAGATACTATAAGCAATAGGTCTAGTATATTTGGTGTATGGAAGGACTGTAAGGTGTACATGTCCAACTGGCAGGTGTCATCTGACCTTGACCTCATTTTCATGGTTCAGTGGTTATAGTTAAGTTTTTGTGTTTTGGTCTGTTTTTCTTATACTATATGCAATAGTTCAACTATATTTGGTGTATGGAAATATTTTATGATCTATTTGGCAGTCACGCAGGTTTTATTTGACCTTGACCTCATTTTCAAGGTTCATTGCTCAGTGTTAAGTTTTTGTGTTTTGGTCTGTTTTTCTTAAACTATAAGCAATAGGTCAACTCTATTTGTTGTATGGAAGAATTGTTAGCTGTACATGCCTGCCTAGCATGGTTCATCTGACCTTGACCTCATTTTCATGGTTCATTGGTCAATGTTTAGTTTACTTGGTTAATGTTAAGTTTATGTGACAGTTGTAATAAAGCTTTATATTTAGGACTATCAACATAATATCAATGATTAGTAAAGAAGGCGAGACATTTCAGCGTGTGCACTCTTGTCTTTTTTATTGTTGAACATGAAGAATTATGAAATTTGTATGACTTGATAAAGATACTTAGTATCAAAAAGAAAAGTTATATCAAAACTGCCAATAAATACTTTTTGACAATTCATTTCCTTAGATGAAGACATTGATATTTCCTCAGTTGAAAACATTGAAAATGCCTATAAAAATAATAGCTTAATATTTCATTAGAATCTATTGTAAGGCAGCATGTTATTTTGATATGTTGGTTATTTGTAAAATCAGCCAGAACTTTTTACAAAGTAAAAAAATAATAATTGAATGCTAACAAGGGGAAATAATTTATCAAATTGTGAAAGAAAAATACAAGTGAGCACTTGAAAAAAGCTTAAAAGTAACAACTGTACCAAGCATACAACTGAGAGAATTCTTTGCAAAATGAGAATCTTCTTACAATCATTTATTGAATAACACTGATGGAGGGTAATAACAGCCATAGATATATTGATAGAAAAGGAAAAAAAATGTATTTAACAATAATGTCATATTAGCTATGACATTAAGATGATGTGGTAGGATTGACAATGGAGAAATCTATATAGCAGTGACCAAATGAAATCAATTAGTTTGATTATCTTCTTCTTATAAAATTTTAAAAAAAAACATACAAAAATCTTAATTAAATAGTTTTAATTTAAATGATTATTTCATGTGAAGTATGTGACTGCCAATTCATAAATATGAATTATTTTTATATTCCAGATTTCAATGTTCAACCTGAAAGGAGAAATTCTTAAAATTTATGCTGGACATCTCATATCAAGGATCCATCACAATATTGATATTAGACTTGTGAAGAATATTCTGATAAATTAATGGTAAGTGTTTACCTTAAGGAATCTGGTGGGTTGATTGTGATGCATACAATCACCTGATATGAATTAATATGGAATTGGAACCATTGTACAGCACCAGGGCTTCCAAAATTATTTTTAGCCAGCCGGACATTTTATATACTATCCCGATTTTAATCTCTAAAGACTAAATAAACAAAAGGCAATTATGGTAATCAGTTGCAGAGTTGGCCATCCCAATGATTGACATTAAAAAAAAACGATATTATTTAATTTAAACTTTCTTTGATTCAAATTCGAAGTTCTGACGTAAACTGTTAAATTGGCAGTGCATCATTCGAAGTGTGCAACATTAGCGTACTTATATCTGCCTTGAAAACTTTATTTGTGCAAAATAACGTTGTCAAACACTTTACTTTCGTTTTTAAAATACCGGATGTTGTCTTGACAATGGTAAAACATGGACCAGAGACGGATACGTAAATTCCGTGTACGTTTGCAAAGCATGAATGAGTGTAAGTAGCTCATTCTACGTTATTTCTTCAAGAAAATATTCGAAATAAACGTGAGATAAAGGCATCAATGACAATTTAAGTATTGTTTGAAGAAATTAGGATGCATAATTAAATTTCACACCTGCACACATGCGCACACTTGTACTAGTTCAAACAGAGACATGTCTCTGGTTCAAACAACGTGGTTTTGACGATTTTTCATTTTCACCTTTTTAATTTTTTCATCAAATCATATTTGAAAATGTATTTCTGATAATTTAAATCTGTTTGACTAAATTAATTAGATGCAAACCGGTGAAATATAAGAAAATAACTTTGAATAGACCGATCAATGTCCGGTTCAAAATAGTTTACCTGTCAATTGAACAGGTAAATTGCAGCTGTTCGACAACTAATTAGCCTTGATTAAAATGAAAAGGTATTAAAGTAGGGGTTGTTTTGATAGTACTTAATGATCATGTCACTTTTATGACCGGAAATGTGTGGCTGTTAAAGGCAAAAGGTTGGGTCAAAAAGATCGCTAATTATGTTAAAATGACCGTCTCATAAGAAAGCCTTGAAAACTAAAAAGTAGATGACCGTTTCGTGCTTTGCCCAGCCGGACTTTTACCGGACATTATACAAATGTCCGGAATATATGACCGTTTTGGAAGCCTTGTACAGCACTCTAATAGAAGCCAGCATATGCTTTTAATATTCAAAACAAAAACAAAATATTTTCAAAATACCTAGTAATTTCTTGAAATTGTGTCAATCTGTTTTACAAATTTGATCGGATTAATAATAATATTCAAAACAAAAAAAAGTCAATTTTCAAAATACCTAGTAGTTTCTTGTAATTCTGTCATTCTGTTTTGCAAATTTGATCGAATTGATAAAAAAGTACTACTGGGGTAAATATGAGATGTATTGGACCAAATAATAAGCTCAAGTTGTTTCTAATATTGTAAGGGTATTCTCAATGTTTTCAGAATACTGTAAAATTCTTAAAGGTATAATTTAAAGTATAAATAAATATTGTTCATGCAGATGATCCAAAATACTAAGACATATTATCTGTGTTTCAGATGTACGACAAATCGTGCTACAAGTATCATACCAGCAGAATTATTTGATGGGAGTAAAACATAGGAGCAGGATCTCACCTCATACAAGGTTGGTACTCTTACTTCCTTAACGAATTAAATATCTGTCCATCTGATGTCACAATGTTCTAATAAAAAGAAGATGTGGTTTGATTGCCGATGAGACAACTCTCCACCAGAGACCAAATGATGTGGAAGTTTTTCTCGGTTAGCAATGTGACAGAGCTGCTTAAAAACTGTTTCACTCAGTCAACTTATGAACATGATGTACTGGAAATAACCAGTTGATTAAAGTAACTACTTTTATTGTTGTTCTTCATCATTACAGTTGCTGTAGAGTATTCACCTATGAACTGAAATGTTTATACTTAATAACAATGTCAAGATGCCCCCTATGGTCAACTTGAACATTATATGTGCAATAATGGTAACATGACTCCAACTGGAGGTATCAACTGTATTTTTGTCGAGCCTTTCGACTTTTGTCGAAAAAGCGAGACATAGCGATCCTACATTCCGTCGGCGGCGGCGGCGGCGTCCACAAATATTCACTCTGTGGTTAAAGTTTTTGAAATTTTAATAACTTTTTTAAACTATCCTGGATTTCTACCAAACTTGGACAGAAGCTTGTTTATGATCATATGATAATATTCAAAAGTAAATTTTGTAAAAAAAAAATTCCATTTTTTCCGTATTTTACTTATAAATGGACTTAGTTTTTCTGCCAGGAAACATTACATTCACTCTGTGGTTAAAGTTTTTGAAATTTTAATAACTTTCTTAAACTATCCTGGATTTCTACCAAACTTGGACAGAAGCTTGTTTATGATCATAAGATAGTATCCAGAAGTAAATTTTGTAAAAAAAAATTCCGTTTTTTCCGTATTTTACTTATAAATGGACTTAGTTTTTCTGCCAGGAAACATTACATTCACTCTGTGGTTAAAGTTTTTAAAATTTTAACAGTTTTCTTAAACTATCCTGGATTTGTACCAAACTTGGACAGAAGTTTGTTTATGATTAAAAGCTAGTATCTAAAAGGAAAAAAAAATTGTTCCATTTTTTCCGTATTTTACTTATAAATGGACTTAGTTTTTCTTCCAGTTAACATAACATACAGTCTGCAGTTTAAGTTTTTAAAACATTTATTAGATTCAAAAACTATCATGGATTTTTACCAAACTTGGACAGAAGCTACTTACAATCAAAAGATAGTATAGAGAGATTTATTTTTTTCCTCATTTTTGTTGAGCCTGCGATTAACAGCAAAAGTAGGCGAGACACTGGGTTCCACGGAACCCTTACGAATTTTTTAATAAAGAGACCAAATAGGAAAATTTCATGAAAAGATTATTAGACGTCAAAAGAATGAAATAATTGTCGATGTATTTTGGTTATTTTTAGTTTTTGTCCGTATACCTCACTTTTTTGTATTCATATCTGAAATTAGAACAAAACTACGCTGTTTTGAGAATTTTTAATCTAAGCCTGCTTGGGACCTAAATCGGGGAAAATATTTCTATGGTAGTGACATTAAGTTTTCAGAATAGTACTGAACTGCTCTCCATTATTGCTGTAAAACCTTTTTGTTCAAAATTCAAGTGCTGGTCCCATATTCTTTTGAAATTTTTGTTATCCAATTGAATTAACTAATTAAATTGTTGTTTGTAGTGAGGAGGAACAGTTGAACTGATGAACTTTGAACTGATGAACTTGGAAACATCTGAAAGGTAATAATACATAAGAAAAACAGACCACCTAGAATAAGAAAAGAGAAAGAGTTAACTCATAGAGTAAAGGGTAAAAACAGACCACATAGAATAAGGAAAGAGAAAGATTAACTCATAGAGTAAAGGGTAGACGAAACTATCAACACTTTGAAATTAACAAGAGCAATAATCAACATAACAGCTGCTTCATCACCATCTCAGAGGTTAGGTCTCTAACTGACTCAACTGATGAACTTATAACAAGCTTAACAGATCATCAGCATAGTTGAACAATGAACACTTCAGAGACAAAATATTCTTGGCAATGAAAATATATGACTGAAATTTCATAATTGTATATGGTCAGTGGGAGAGAGAGAAAGATGTAGAATGGTCAGAGTGGGAGAGGGAGAACACTTATGATGATGAGTGGGGAGAAATAAAGAACAATTATTGCAACTGATAAATTTGTCTTCAACCAAACTCATGGCTTGTGTTGATGTGTCTAACCTTAGACATCTGATATTTTTATTATCTAGAGCTCTGTTTAAAAAAAAAATGTAAAAAATAATATGAAAACAAATTTTAAACAGTTCTAGATAATAAACATTAAGGGTGGTGTAAAAAGTGGGCATATTTTAAATTTTCTTTTTTACACCAATGTATTTATGAAATTTAAAACTTTAAAGTCAGAATGTTTAATTGGACGTACAATTGTTTTGATTTTAGATATTTGGAGACAAAACCTATTCTTCTCCATTTATTACACTCTAAAAGTGTCATTAATTTGCAATATTCTTATTTTGATTGTCTTTGCTTATACCTCTAACCTTAGACATCCAATATTTTTATTATCTAGAGCTCTGTAAAAAAAATGACAAAATTGTAAATAGAGTTCTAGATAATAAACATTAAGGGTGGTGTAAAAAGTGGTTATATTTTTTATATTTTGAATTCTCTCCCTCCCTAATATATTTACGAAATTAAATACAAGAGATATTTATTGGTAAATGATTTGTGTTGGATAAGTTTTATCCTTTCATTAGTGTATTTTAAAAAATGTTTTTTTCAGCTGTACATTTTTCTTGGGTATTGAAAATGGCTTTGAAGTTAATATGTTTAATTGGAAGCAGAATTTTTTTATTATTAGATATTGGAGACAAAACCTATCTTCTCTGTATATTTCACCTTAACAGTGTCTTAGATTTGCAATGTCTTTGCTTATACCTCTAACCTTAGACATCCAATATTTTTATTATCTAGAGCTCTGTAAAAAAAAAAAAAAAAAAAAAAAATAATATGAAAACAAAATTGCAGAGTTCTAGATAATAAACATTAAGGGTGGTGTAAAAAGTGGGTATATTTTGAATTGTTAAATGCCCTTAAAGTTTGAATGTTTAAATGGAAGTAGAATTCTTTCAATTTTAGATGTTTTGAGATAAAACCTATCATCTCGGTATATATTTATACTGTGTATAACAGTGTCTTAAATTCTGCAATATTGTGATTTTGAATGTCTTTGTTAACTCTAACTTTTAACATTTGAATTCCATTCAGTATTAAAATAATATGTGATGCAAATTTTTCTGGTTATTCTCTGTTATTAAGGATGTTTGTATAAAATGTTTTTGTCTCACCTGCCACGAAAACTTCAGAATGCAAGACATTGGGATCTGGCGGTGGCAGAAACTATTTGTATTAAGCTTTATATTTCAGAAATTGATAGGCTTGGAGAATTTAATCATACCATTAATACAGACAGATGCCATATGTTTGGAAGTTTCTGTCTGTCACATGTCTTGTCCTTGATTTTATTTTCATGGTTCAGCAACTGCTTAAAAAAAGATTTTATTTATTTGAATTTCTCAATGATGAGTAATAGGATTTGATATGGGTCATGGCAATGCATGTCTATATGTTCTTCAGACAGGGTTCACCTGACATCAACCTCATTGATCAAGGTGAAAGTCACATGTTTTGATCTGCTTCCCAGATACTGTAAGCAGAAGTTCAACTTTATTTGGTGTATGGAATGATTGTAAGGTGTACATGTCAGTCTGGCAGGTTTTATCTGACCTTGACTTCATTTTCTTTGTCTGAATGTTAGGTTTTCCTGGTTAATATGAAAATAAGGAGATATGGTATGATTGTCAATGAGACAACTATCAACTAAAGTTCAAATGAAGTGGGTGTAAGCATTATAGGCAATAGACCAGCCTTTAGCAGTGAGAAAAACCCATACCGTGTAGTCTGCTTTAAAAGGCCCTGACATGAAAAATATGAAACAATTCAAATGACCTAATTTATAACAAAACTATGTGTGAAAAACAAATATGAGACATGAACCAACAACAGCAATAGAACTACAGGTTCCTGACCGTCACAGGCACTTAAAGAATGTGGCAGGGTTTAACAAGGGCTCAACCCTCCCCTAACCTGGGAAAGTCTAAGGAAGAGAGCTTAAATTGTTTTTCGTTATCTCAGTCACAGTGAGGACTTCAACACAGAGCAAACACAAATTGCCTCACTTGCACTGCAAGTTTAAGATAACACCTAGCAGCGGTTTGAGTGGAATACATTGCAAGATGCATTCCAATCGGGCCCGATTAAAAGAATGAACATACTGGAAAGTGGAAAGTAGTACATATTTAAAACAAAATAGTTCCTATGCATCGGTGTAAGTTATGTATGGAATGATTGTAAGGTGTACATATCTGGCAGATTTCCTCATTTTCGTGGTTCTTTTATCGATGTCTAGTATTCATGATTTAATTATATATATTAATTGGTCTGTTTCTTGTATACTATATTTAATAAAGCAATAGGTCAACTATATTTGGTGTTTGCCCGGGTGGGGTTACTGACTATCCTTTCTGGTATAACTGTACCGACAGCACTTGTCAAATCATACCCTGTTCTAACCAGAAAACATTGAAAAATATACCCTGTTCTAAACAGAAATATTGAAAAACATACCCTGTTCTAGACACGCTCAAGAAAATGTAGAATAGATGCTGTTCTAGACCCGGGTTCTAGACTGTATCTTAAACAGTTAAATAAGCGATCCTGGTCTAGTCAAATACTTTGTTTAAAAAAAGGCCCTATAAGACCCTGTTCTCACCAGGAGGGCATGAAAAAGTGACCCTGTTCTAACCAGCAGGACATGAAAAGGGACCCTGTTCTAACCAGCAGGACATGAAAAGCGACCCAGTTCTAACCAGCAGGACATGAAAAGGGACCCTGATCTAACCAGCAGGACATGAAAAGCGACCCTGTTCTAACCAGCAGGACATGAAAAGGGACCCTGTTCTAACCAACAGGGCATCGATGAAAAAGCGACCCTGTTTTGCTCGATCCACACTCGTACCACTAAAAAATATAGGAAATAACACTCCCCCCCTCCGGGTGTTTGTAATGATTGTAAGGTGTCTTTCTGGCTTGGTTTATCTGAACATGACCCAAAACTATCAGCATAAAATAAATTATAAATAGTATTTTTAAAGCAGGCCAGACATTTCAGATGTTCGCTCCTCTTGTTTTTGAATTTTTTGTTAGATATTCGGAATCCTCTGGTTTTATCCATGTAGTGCCATTAAAACATTTTGCCCACTAAGCCCTACTTTTCTTTTCATAATTTTATAACATATAGTTTAAAAAGCCATATTTGAAAATCTTGTAAAATCCTTGTTATTTTCTCAAAGTTTTTATGTAAAACAATTCAAACGAGAAAACTAACGGCCTAATTTATGTACAAAAAATGAACGAATAACAAATATGTAACATATAAACAAACGACAACCACTGAATTACAGGCTCCTGATTTGGGACAGGCACATACATACAGAATGTGGCGGGGTTAAACAAGTTAGCGGGATCCCAGCCCTCGACCCCCTAACCTGGGACAGTGGCATAACTGTACAATATAAGAACGAACTATAAAAATCAGTTGAAAGAGGCTTAACTCATCAGATGGATAAAATACAAATACAATGGACGTGGCCGGGTAGTTGTACATCCAAACAACAAAAAGACACTAAGTACAGATCTGAGAGTACTCGCAGTTTACATGTATTAGTTAGTGATTAGGTCAGTTTATGGGGAACCACTAGTGGTAGGCCAATGATATTTGGTATGCAGTTGAATTAGCATTGGCACATCTCATTACAATGGAGATAATTTGGCCCCGCTCCCTCAGTCAAGGTCTATTGACTTTGAAACTTTGCTTAGTTTAAATGTATTAGTTTGTGATTGGGTCAGTTTATGGGGAACCACTAGTGGTAGGTCAATGATATTTGGTATGCAGTTGTATAAGCATTGGCATATCTCATTTCTATAGAGAATATTTTGGCCCCACCCCCTCATTCATGGTCTATTGACTTTGAAACTTTTGCTTAGTTTTCATGTATTAGTTTGTGATTAGGTCAGTTTAAGGGGAACTGTTAGTGGTAGGTCAGTGATAATTGGTATGCAGTTGTATAAGTATTAGCACATCTCATTTCCATGGAGAATATTTGGTCTTTACCCCTCAGTCATGGTTTTATTGACTAAACTTTTGCTTAGTTTACAAGTTACTGTTTGTGTTTTAAGCATTCAACTTTATTAAGGACTTAATTGCCCAGAAACAATCATAATTATTCTTATTGCAAAATATTCAATTTTATGCAAAAATTCTATTGGAGCGATACAGAACCCTTTTAAGACACAAATAGGTCAGTATCTCAATTATAATGAATAATAGGTCAACTATGTATGTAAGCCAACATGATGGCTAAAAATGAATGTTTAAGAGTGTATTGCCATAACTTAATTACTGGGTAAAATGACCTGTTTTTGCAATTTTTTTTCTTTTAAATATAAAATAAGGACCTTTGGTATATGACAGCCAATGAGACCACTATCCAACAAAGGAAATGTCAATGTTAAAAGGATGCATGCAAATATAGAATATCATACAGCACAGGGATGTCTCAACCAGTGGCGGATCCAGAAAAAATTTCAAAAGGGGGGGGGGCCACTGACTGCTAAAGAGGGGGCCCGCTCCAGTCATTCCCAACATAATCAACCAAATTTTCCCACAAAAAGGGGGGGAAAGGGGCTTCCTGGGCCCCCTCTTAATCCACCTCTGTCAACATATAAACTTTGGTACAGCGTTTGGCTGGGGTTTAAAAACCATCCCCCATTATATTGATATACCTATACATATATTTCATAAGACAAGTCAACCCATTTGTAATATTTCCCAGCTATCTAAATACAATCTGTGACATGTTATTTAGATGTTATCCACATGGAACCATTAATTCACATTTATAAACCATGTACATATAAATTTCTAACCATTGATATATTTAACCTATCTGAAATTACACCCCCATTGATATTTTTGACATTCAAAAAAATGAATTCAATCGGCATTGTCTCTGCATATATGTAACCTTCATATAGGAAGACCCCCCCCAATACCTCACAGCCTTAAAATATGAGAAAAAATTCATACCAAATATAGTAAGCTGTATTTTTACAGCCAGAGAAAAAAAACTTGAAAAAATACATCAGAGAAAAACTAATGACTTGATTGAAGCTAATGATCGACATTAAAAAAATATTATGGCAACCAACAATTATAGACTACTAAGATCTACTAAGGCTTTGGACAAACAACTAAAGAATGTGGCAGTAATAAACTCTTTGTCTCATGGGCAATTCTACCATTTCTCCTTATTTGTATATTGTGAGAACTTTATCCTAAACAGTGGTGCAACAGCACAACATAAAAAAACTAAAAGTCAGATGGTTGACTAAATTAACCGAGCTTGATTCATTATGCATATAATCTTGAAACCTATAAAGATGGTGGCTGGGTTACGAAGGTCTATCAACAGTCCAATATTTATGTATAAGTTATGTAACCAGTCATTCATGTACAAAATGTGGGTCATAGTGTCAAATTTTAATATAGACCTTCAATATTATTCAAGAATTGTCCCCTGACATCACATTTGACCTTTACCAACAGCTCCTTAGATCAGGACAATATATAGACAAAACTGAACCTGTTATTCAAAC